TTAATTACTCTGCTCGGTTTTAGCCCATCGTGCTCTAGAGGGAGAATGTGCTTCACTGGGTGGGGGAACAAAGCCGACCAGTTAGTGGAAGAGAAAAGCCTGTTCCTTCAATCTGTTTGAAAGCTTTTGGTACATCAAAGTCCTGGCAAGAAGCAACGTCTGATACAATTGTTGTGGACACTTGCAAAGGTTTTGATAAAGACCTTTGTGAAAGAGCTGTTCTGGAGAGGCCCAGAAGAGCCATGGGTTAGGCACCAGCCAAGAAACAAAAACCCCGAAAGCAGGATGAGGACTGGGCAAATGTCACATGGTTCCGTACCCCACCCAGCAGCGCCCCATCCCCTACATTATTACCCCCCAAAATCCTGAAAAAACACAGAACAGACTTGAATAAAGACCAGGAGAGAAAGTCGCAGGGAACTGTGTCCAAATGCTCGATAGGAAGGAACAGGAGGTCCTCCTCTGGCATCGCTGCCTCTCACCAGCTCCCAAAGGACACATCAAAAAAGAGAGGAGGGGAGCATTTCTGAGATGGGAAAGTAAGAGGGTTAGAAATAGAGTCTAGCTAGAATTGAAATTATTTTCATTTCTCGGCAAAGTGAGTAAAAAGCAACATAATGGCAGTCTACAAAATAACGAATGGCACAAAGAAGGTACATATAAGTACTCCTATTTACACTTTTCACATAAAAAGAGAACAAAGGGACAGTCAATAAACCCGAACAGCAGCAACACGTACAAGGATAAGCGAAATACTGTTGTTCTAATGCACTGTGCACAATCACCCGGGGAGCTCACTGTTCCAAAATATCGCTAAAATCGCAGATGCAGAGAGACTTTCAAAAAAGGGACAGGAAGGTACCTGAAAGAAAAGAGCATTTCCAGTTGTATTTGCTATATGTGAGTTACATTAGCAGTGAGCAATAATATGGGGTTTTAAGAGAGAAATTCTCATACAAATAAGAATAAATGGGAGGGGGGCAAAGATCCCCCCGGGCAGATAAGTCCAAAAATTGCCTTCTAAGGAATGTCTCATTCCTCCTTCCTCTGAAGCACTTATGTTGGCTACCAGCAGCAATCAGCAACTGGAGAAGATGAGCTGCTTCTCCTGATCCCCTCCGGCTCCCTCCTGCAGCAAGGCCAGAGCACCTTCCCCCCATGCTCTGTCCCATGCATCATCCAGAAATGGGGGCGTTCACCTTCCCTCCCCACAGCCTCCTCGCCCGCGGAGCACCCAGCCAGGCCAGCCCAGCCTGCTGCTGCCACCAGCCTCGCTCCCTGCAGCGACTTCCTTGAAGACCATTATAGTTTTGGGGTCTCTGGCTTCGGGGGCTGCCAAGTAGCATCATCTGAAAGCCTAAATCTCGCTCCCCAGGCCGAGGTGCAGCTGCCGTGGGTGGGGGCTGCTTGGGGAAAGGCAGCTGCTTGGGCGGGTGCCGCATCCCAGCTTGATCGTCCCTTGTAGTCAAGGAACATTTCACATCCTCAGCCATATGTGACTGAGAGAGGTAAAAATAATCCTCTTTCTTTTTTTTTTTTTTTTCCCATTGACATGCAGTGATATCTCCCCTATTCGTCGTCAAAATGAACAGAAATTAATCGCAGTAACGCTTCTGCCTGGTGATGGGGATGCACGCGTTGGTGATACACGTCGGCACACCTTCAGGAGCGATGGTGCCTGGGTAGGTACCAGGGAAGGTCAGCAGTGGGGAGGTGGGAGAGGAAATTACTTGAGCGAGCATCCCTGAATTTAAATAGAGCCGACAATTGCAAAACTGTGCTTGTGGAAACCTTCCTTTTCATGGCCTCGTGAATCTGAGGCACAAGATTTGAGGCATAAAGCCTGGGCCTTGACTGGGCCCACAAAGTTAAAATAAAAGTAATAGCCGCTTTGCCTTAATCTCCCTCTCTGTGAGGGTTGTGTCCTTATGCTCAACGCAGAGCACGAACCTTTCTTCCCCCTGACTGCCGCCCGCTCCTGAAGAACAGCATCCTGGTTCCCAACTGCTTCGCAGCAGCACTCCCTCATGTTGGCTTTTCCCTA